AAAAATTAAAGAAAAACAGAGTATTTATGAAAATGATTAATTTATAACATAACATACCAAAATCCAAACCATTTTATGACTTTTCTTGTTGGTCATATTGCTGACAAAGATGTATATAATCATGTGATAATTTTAACCTACAGGCAGGGGACTGATTGGGCAAAAACCCCCTACCCAAAATTATTAAATTGGTTAGTATCAGAGAACAGAGCATTTATGAAAATGATTATACAAAACAAACACTATTTTACAACTTTCCTCTTAACATCGGAGCCAATGCAATTTCAGGGGCACCAGCCCTGCTCTGAATTGTGACCTCCTGTGCTTGAAACAAGTTGCAGATTCACTTAATATTCCTCCAGAATTGTGACAATTTGGTCACAGAGCCATCCTTGCCCTAGAGGTGGGATTGTTGCAGGTGACTTTTCATCTAGCATACCAGCAGCCATCTCTGGTCTGGTGCTGTAAGGGAAGATTAGTGAAAAGTGTCATTGACAATTGATGCAGTCTTGGTAAACTCCAGGGCCATGCTGCCCCCAGAATTCAGTTGCATCACCATATCATTGGGCATCACAGGTTGGTTTAGCCTTGTGTACACAAGGAAGATGAGAATGACTGTAAATTGTTCAAGGTAATGTGCGTGCTTCAACACTTGTAAAATTTCCAATAATCAAACATCACATATTTGAAATGTTTCTTTTACAACAGTCAATGCTGCCTTGATATCTTGTAATTATATATCAATGAAAATCTTGTAATTACCCAGCAAGATCTGCTCTGCATTTTGATTTCCAATTAAAATATTTATAAGCTAAAATAAAAGACACCTCATAAATATCAATACAAATAAAAAAAAGTACCTCTGGTTAGTTATTAACATGTTTCTTTAGGAGACCCAAACCAAACAACAACACTCATGTTTTGTCACCTTGGACTCTGTCAAAAAATAATTTGTTTTTTGTTTTTTTCCAAAAAAAAAAAAAAAATCAATCAATTCATGTCTGTCCTACCAAAAAAAAACCAATAGGATAAATAATTAATGTGTACGCATCGATCAAATAACAAACTTCTTTTTAATATTTTTTTTATAATGTTGTTGAAAAACCAAAAAAGAAGACAATCAAACAATGTTGCAGAGGCAACAAGACCTGGGTAAGTGTTTTAAGGATGGTGGTGGTTATCGCCCACCACTTGTCATTACTCTAAATTAGTTTATAAAAAAAAATGAAATTAATTAAAATTTTTCATTACTTTTTAGCCAAGAATGGACATTAATAGACATTACAAATCAAGAAAATAATCATATCATTCCAACTCATATTCAAAAATTTAATCAGGAGTTATCTAAATTAGTAATTATGCAATTTGTTTTACCTGAGAAATTTTCATTTATTGATCAATAAGAAACACCCTTTACATTCATTATTCAGGATAATTATACAAAAGATAAAGATGTTAATAGTTTATACCAGGGTTGGCAAATGTGCAGTCCATTGATGGTCTATTGGTGGTCCATGTCCATTAGTGTAACACTTTAACCATATTTAGTATTTTATTAATGGCAATGGACCAGTCCAAAATCCATCTGTTCTCAATGGACCAGTCAATTTGCCAACCCTGTAATAGATAAGTGCATTTTACCATGCAATGAAAATGATTGCATGTTGTATGAAGACATTTATTGTACTTTAAAAGAATTGGAGGTACACTATTACTTTTTATTCTATATGACAATTGATTTAATTGATTTATATGATCAATCAACTAATTTAACTTAATTTTCATAGAATAAATTATCAGAAACTGAAGGTATAGCACAAAAATTGCATGTTTTGAACATCAAAGGAAAACGAAGAAATCTTGTAACTGAGAATATTCCTATTCTAAACGTGAACAAAACTCCTGAATAATAATGTTATTTAATGCTGTAATCAAATTCTTATTAGATATTTGAGAATTAGTGGTGTTTTAATTTTAAATTTAAGTTGCTTAATTATTTTCAAAAATTTAAATTTTTTATTCCATATCCCACCAATTATGAATCACAATAAAAGAAAAAACTAAATCCTTATTGAATTTGCACCTTCGACCTAATTATATTAAATTTTGATTAAAAAATGAGATGTAGATAAAACACCCTTAATCATCATGATCACATTATTGAAGCCACCATGACTAAATTTTGAACCCTGAAATCCTTAGTAATACTAATGTTCACTTTGTTTGGTTTTGTTGCAGTATGCCCCATATGTGGTATGATGCTGGCTGACTCAGCTTCTATCAGTTGTGGGATGACTTGGTTTCACTGTAATGAAATCTTTCTTTGGTGATTTCACATTTAATTAGCTCCAGAATCTTTTATTCTTTTTCTTTTTAGAATAATATGTTAAACCTTCAGTTGTGACAGTCCTTGAAAGTGCCTATACCAATATCATTCTCTTCCACAGATAATTTATGGTCATCATCTTTTTTACTATTGACAATAGTAGATTCGTTCTTTTTTTCTGTTCAGTTGTACAAACAGCTGTTAGGACGAAGATAAAATTACTGTACTAGAAGTAATTGTGGAATCAGCAATAAATCATTATTTCATTTATGCTGTGGTCTTAAGGAGATTATTTCACTTATATAAAATTTTGTCAAATTAATTGGATCAAAAAAACATTTTTATCATGTAATACATGTAATATATAGTGAATTCATATTATACTCGTATTGTAGTATTTATTTTGTGGATTCAGCTACGGAATTAACTTTTTATCAATTTTCTTTAAATTCCCTTTTTAATATTAAGTCTTTAAAATGGTGAGCTAACATATAAATATAAAAATATATAAAATCTTATATACTTATGTAATTATCTTTATTAAAGAGCGATCCTATAGAATGTGCCCTAGATCTTATGAGACGTCTTCCACCACAAAAAACTGAAGGAAACCTTCTACAACTCATAGATCTTGTACCTCATCTTCATGAAGATTTAATAAACGCTGTTGACCAACCTTTAAAAATTGGTAGATGTAAAAAAGAGGGAAAGGATTATATTTTATGTGCCTTTAACAAAGATGGAGAATCATATCGGTATAATAAATATTTTATATGTTAAAAAAAAGTTTTTTCAAGACAGGCTTTTTTGTTTATTATATATAATTTTTTAATAGCTCTCCCTGGTCAAATAAATATGACCCATATATCGATGATGCCATATTCCCATCTTCAAGAATACGTAAATTAGAAGTAGCTGCCAATGAGGCATTTAATACATATCGAGAGATGTAAAATAAGCTTCATATTTATCAATCATTTTATTTCCATAAAATTACTCTATAATATCTAAATTTTGATAGGTACTATGAAGGTGGCGTTTCCTCAGCTTATTTTTGGGATGATCCTCCAGATGGGTTTTCCGGAGCTATACTATTTAAGAAAGGCAAAAAGAGAAACGTTTTTATTTATTTTATGTTCAAGTTATATTCACATATATATATATATATATGTTTTTTATAACTTTTTGTCATAAATTTTGTTAAATAGTTGGTGACGGCGTTCGTAAAATGAAAGGTGTATGGGACTCTATTCATGTCTTTAAAGCAAATGAGCGTGGTCGCAAAGCTCAATATAAATTAACATCTACTGTCATGCTTTATACAATTACAAATAAATCTGATCTTGGAAATATGAATTTATCTGGAAGTATGACAAGACAAGTAAGGCCAAAAAATTTATGATGTGTTCCAGGGCTGGCTGCATAACTCGAATGAGCACTTGGCTAAACTATTAATATGTTAGACAAGTTTAGCCAAGACAATTATTACTAAATATGGATTTAACACCTTTATGCTGTCAGCCCTAATGTGTTCAAGTATTTTTTATTTAAAGGCTTTTTTGATTCATTATAAATATAGTTTGAAGCAGAATATCCATTTGATGACCCCTCAGCACATATCGCAAATATTGGTCGTATGGTTGAAGACATTGAACTTAAAATGCGTAATTTGCTTCAAGAAGTTTATTTTAGTAAAACAAAAGATATAGTTAATGGTTTACGTTCAGTAAATTCCCTTATCGAAGCACAAAAACAAATGGAAGTTCAAAAGGAGTTGGTTGGGAAGTTATTAGAAAGAAAAGCATGAAATTTTATATACATTTTTATATATTATTATATTATATTTATTTATTAAAAAAGAAGTTATCTAGTTAACTAAAGATCAAGTAAATGACACGTTTGTATATGGAGCATTCTGTTACAAAACCGATAAGTAATAATAATATCAATTATTTTTAACATTGGTTGTTATAATTATTGAATTGTGTCATAAGATCTGTGATATTAGAGCTACCAGGAATTTGATTATGAAACTGTTGTAAATTTGGTGCAACATGTTGGGGTTGATGTTGAGGTAAAGGAAGAGTATTATTAGGCTGAGGAGGAGGCATAACATTTGGATTGTTAACATTATGCTGGTTAATCATTGAAGTATTAAAAGGCATAGTATTATGAGGGAACACTTGCGTATATCGTTGTTGATTTGGAGCATTTGCAGGCGCCAAATTTCCAAGTATTTGTTGTACATCAAAACTTTGTGGTTGTGCAGACATAAAACCTGGCTGATGTTGTAAATTGGTACCAGGTGAAACTACTTGAATGGGCTGTGTATTTTGGGGGACTGTTGGCTGCTGTTGCTGTTGCTGTTGTTGCTGTTGTAAACTACCAAGCAAATTAGCAAGTGCGGCAAAATTAACATTATTTAATGAAATTGGATTAATATTTAATGCATTTGGCTGTTCTATAATTGGGGCAGCCTTCTGTGTTTGAGGTAAAATTTGTTGCCCACCAGTTAACATATTGTTAGGGACCGATGAAACACGAGCTCGAGACAATAATCCAACTGCATCTTCTATTCTAATATTGTTATATTCTAATAATTTTTAATTTAAGTTAATAAATAGGTTCATCTACATTATTTATAATCAAAGTATTAAAAAGAGAAAAACTAACCATCATATTTTACATTATCTTGAGAACGTTGATGTTCAAAAATTTGCATATTAACCCTACCATTCATTATAAGGGCCCTTTCTAAAAAGACAACCGCATGCACGCCTTCTACAATCATTTGACGAACAACTGCTTGAATTTGAAGTTTTCTAGATAAATGAAGTGTGTGAACAGAGATATTTGCTTCTCTGAAAGCATTCTCTGCTTGCCATAAATAATTCCTAAAAACAATTCATATATATAATAACGATCGATTGATTTTTAACAAACAATAAAAATCAATTAAAATTTTTAAGATACCAACCGATCAACTTCTTCAAGGACAATTATTTGACATTCTGGTACCGCATTGCCTTGCCTTCTAGGTAAAGGAAATTCATCATTAGCCTTGTCATGTAATTGTGACCTATTATCTCGACTTTGTTTTTGTTCTGAATAATCTCTATTAGGAACTCTATATGGTTTAGATCTATGGGAATTTTTTTGGTCGCGGTGTTCCTCCCTATATGAATCACGGCTATGTCTTCTTTCATTGCCTTCCTTATTATAATGCCAATTATTATGGGTTTGAGTATGATGTCCTCTGGCGGGTGAATATTCTCTTTTGTTATTATTATGCCAATTATTTTTATTTCCACCTCTTTGATTCCAACGTTTTTCATGATGATGCCCAAAATTATTTTTATGCCCAGTATCTTGATTTTGCGAACGGCGATGTAACTTACCATGAGAAACCTCCAATCCTATTATAAAATTAAATGATATATTAATTAATTAATGATTAATTTTATATATAAAATAAAAAAAACTTGCCTAATCTCAATCCATGTAAAATCCTTCCATTCTCTTTCTCGATTGCTTTTTTAATACTCTCAGTATTATCATATTGGATAAAACCAAAGCTATTTTTAATAGATATTTCAAAAACTTCTCCATAAGGAGAAAAGATGTCATAAAGCTCCTTTTTAGTAGTCGAATGAGTGGATAAATTTCCCAAAAATAAACGAGATCCTGGAGGCAGAGCTTGGAATCCAGCATCTGATAATTTACGCAAACTAAATGGGGCCTTATTATGATTATGATTATTAACATTGCTATTATTGGCATTATTATTATTATTATTATTATTATTATTATTATTTTCATCAGATTTTTCATTTCCTATTTGGGAATTTGGAGAGCAATGATCACGAAACCTATGGTGATATTCTATATCAAAATTTTGATCAGTATTATCTAGATTATTAGTTTGGGTATTCCAATTAGGATTAGCAATATTGAAATTTGGTCGTTGTAAAGTTTGTTGTCCATGTTCAAAATTCATCGACTCTTCCTTATTATTATTATTATTACTATCACCTTGGTCATTATCATTATTATCATTATCATTATCATTATTATTATTAGAAATATTATTATTGTTATCATTATTATTAATGCTATTGATTCGAAATTCATAAAGGCCAGACTCATTTGAAGAAATATTTGTGTTGTTTTTAACTTCTTGAACATTGGAAGAAACAAGCTCCATATTATTACTTTCAATTTGAATATTGTCATTATCCTCATTTTTAGGTAGTGATTCACTATTATTAATAGGTTCAATCATTTCTTGACTGGTGTTTTGATTTGGCGCATTAATATGAGTGGTTTGTTCATTTGATGATGGCAGCGATGATGAGTCAAGCAATGGATTTGTAGATGTATTTTCAAATACAGGGATTTGTAAAGGCACTATCTCTTCTTGGTTTTGGGTCGATTCTAAAGCTTCCATTCTTTGATAATTTGTACTAATAATCTTTTTATTGTTAACAGTTGGATTTTTTTCAGTTAATAGAGGTTGTTGACTTGCATCACTAAATATATTATTATTATTATATAAAAAGTAATCATCTGCATAGTATTTGATCGACATTAAATTATTTTAACACAAAAAAAAGATTTAACATTTGCCGTGTCACGATCTCCTTCCAAAACTCGCAAGTCGTGCGACTTCCGTGCAATTTTCTCGCCGATTGTCTCCTTTTGCGTCTAGCCGCGCCTGGTCTTTTCGGTTTTTGGTGCGATCAACGTTTTCACCATAATATTTAGCAACAAAAAAATTGTGTCGAACAGCAAATGTTTTGTTTTATAACAGGTTGGCGTTGCAATTGCAATTGAAACCGAAAAATCTTTGTTTTTTAAACTTAATTTTTTGGGTGGTAATTTCAGAAAATTTTTTTTTCTGAAAAAAAATTTGATCTACATAATTTTTATTGCAAAGAAAAAAAAATACAAATAGGAATGAAAAAAAAAAATTTTTGATCTACGTAATTTTTATTGCGAAAAAAAAAAAAATACAAAGAATAATAAAAATTATTCAGTGTCACAACTCTCATCACCGTCGTCGTTTACCACTCATTATCACTATCATCATTTTCAATGTTGTATGAATTTTCTACTGCATCCGTATAACCTTTATTGTTGCTGACAACTTCGTTCATTG